TATATATATATATATATATATATATATATATATATATATATATATATATATATATATATATATATTTCCCAGGATACAAAAATCCTATAGAGGGGTACAAAAATTTCTACATAAAATAATAATAAAGGATATTACATCCGTTTAAATATCGCAGCATAACAAAAGAATGTTTGGTAAGAAATAAAAAGGAGAAAAAGATGAACAAAATAAAAATATAACAACAATGCAGTTCCTACAAAAGAAGATAAACAAAACAATGCAAAATCAGTGCTAGCTTAGAGAGAGCTCATCGAGAGTACGAATTAAGTAATTTGAGCTAACAGGGATGCAAGATATCTAAGTATGACAGGTAATTGAAAAAAGGCGAATACAACCCCTCTACTGACCCCATTCATCCTCCAAGAACTTTAGATAGTTAATGCGGACTTTGAGGGCATCATAAAGCTAATTATAAAAGGGTACACGAAAGGAGGAACTGGACTCGGGAATGAGGAAGAAGTCTGTAGTAAGCCAATATGCCAATATGCAATATGGTTGTATATGCCAATGAGATCGTACAGTCTAGTTAGGTGCTTAATGTGTACATCATAAAAAAGAGGACACTCGAAAATGAAATGTTGGAGGCTGTCCAGAGAGGACAGCGAGCAACATGGACAGTTCATCCTTAAATTGAATTTTACAAGATCAGGACCTAGACTAAGCGCACAGATATGAATATTGGCGACCCTGACTTGTGCTAGGGTTTTCTTCATGGTCATTGGGTGGCGGTTCCGCAGATAGTGTACAATAGAATCATCTGGGGTACGGTGTAATTTGAAATGGCATGATGTTGAGACAGCGTATCTCGAGAAATCCGCGCGCCTGAGGGCGAGCTTGAAATTTGAGAGTACGCTCTCCTTCCCAATCTCCCACTCCGCGGCATTAAAATTCCCCCAGAGGTCATGAGCCTGATACTGGAATAGAAAGTCTCTGAGCCTCAGCATCCAATTATTCTTGGGGGAAGAAAGAGAGGAGTTTGATGGAACATATAGTCTTCTAAGGCAAATCTTTGGTAAATAGGAGTTATCTGACTTCAGGATACTAATGAACCAATTTAATAGCAAGGCCATAGCTCTGTGCTGTAGAGGGATCAACTTGAATTCAAGGCGAAGAGCCCAGCCCGGAGTTGCTCGAGGCAGCGGAAATAGGCTCTTGAAAAAGTAGGATTGGACTATTCTATGTTCTCGCGCACTGGGAGCCCCCACGCAGGGAAGGCATACAGTGTAGTCGACAGAATTACACTATTAAACAGAGCCATCGCTGAATTCCAAGAACTCATGCCAGACCTGCGTAGGATCGACAGCACAGAGTTAGAGGCAATTTTGGATTTACCAATTACAGAGATAAGCGCACAGTTGGATTGTGCAGAAGTGTTAATTGTGACTCCAAGGTAAACAAAAGATTTAACAAGTTCCAGTAGTTGGCCGTATAGTCTGAAGGACATATCTCTGAGGCCCCTTGGGTTCCCTCTTTCTTTGAAGATCATTATTTTGGTTTTGCTCACATTAATCTCAACGTTTTTAGACCTGCAATAGTTTTCTAACTCGCTGAGGAGCCTCGCAATGAGCAGGCGATTTCTGGCAAGGAGAACAGTATCATCAGCAAAGAGAACAAGAAGGAGATCCCGGAGGCCATCAATGTTCGGTCCTTCGAAGCCCTGAGCTCTTAATGATTTTTCGAAATCAGAGATGTAAAGGACGAACAGCAGCGCACTCAGTGACTCCCCCTGCAGCACACCCTCAGACACCTCGAATTCATTCAAGAAGGAGCTGCCGCACTGTACCTGGACGCGCGCTTGATCGTAGAGCGATTTAATAATACATACAACTTTTGTACTAACACCTAGGCTAAGAAGCATAGACCATAGTTTCTGATGTGGAATAGAATCAAACGCACGCTTGAAGTCAACAAAGATAGCGTAGACTTCGGTCTTTGAGAGGCGGAACTGCTGCTGGACTGTAGTTACAAGAGTAAAAATAGCATCAGTACAACTTCTTTTCGCGCGAAAACCAAATTGAGACTCAGGGAGAATTTTATTTTTTTCAGCCCATGCTTCGAGCCTGGTTTTGATAATTGAGGTGAAAATTTTGGTAATATTGTTGACTAGAGCTATACCACGGTAGTTCGCAGGATCATTTGGGTCACCCTTCTTGAATAGCATTGATAGGGTTACCTTAGCCCATTAATTAACCCTTTCATCGCTTCGATGGGAAAAATCGTGAATTAATTAATCAAACCGCGAATTAAACCGCGACTCCGCGAATTAAATCGCGAATTAAACCGCGACCGCGCGAATTAATTGACACTTTCATCACTTCGAGGGGGAAAACCCGCGAATTAATTAATCAAACCGCGAATTAGGCCGCGAATTAAACCGCGACTCCGCGAATCAAACCGCGAATTAAACCGCGACCCCGCGAATTAATCAAATACCCATCCACCCACTTTCATCTGACTTCTCTGCTGGGCCCTAACGACCAGGTCGACGCCAAAAACGTTGCGCCATAACCCGCATTACTTAACTACTGGAACAAAGGCGTTATAAATCCTTGTTATCATCAGCACAATACAACGTCTTCGGTACTCGGCAATGTGCCGGTGTGAAAAACAAAAATAGCACGTGCAGAGGCATTTGTTTTGGTTTTCGCGAGGACACTGCGAAACCAAGGCTCGGCGCTCGGACGCTAGGAATGTTCTAGAACTCATGAGACGCCCGTTTATATAATGCCCTTGGGTAGCCACGCGACCCAAGTGTTAGTTAGCCAGTGGCGGCGCTACAGGGGTAGGGGTGTAGCGCCTCGCTACATCCTAAAACGCGATCACTGGCTAAGGACGAGCACAGGCATTTGCCGTTTCACTCGCACCTTCAGTGCCACGCGTATTCTTTTCTGATTCGTCAAATCGTAAGGATATTCGGCAGCCTTGCTGATACCTTTCCGTGCGAATATAATTCAGTCTAACAGTACAGCTCGTATCGCACACTTGATCGGATCATATTATTTTCTCTTTCCCTTTGTATTAATTTGACGCGGATAATAAATATGTAATTATTAGTTTAATTCCATTTGCTAGTGGATTGTTACCTTCCCGACAACTCCTCAATCCCTACACCCCCCGGCCCCACATTTTGCGTCAAAAATCGCTATCTCCCTTAGTTTAGGAGATATTTCTGAAAAACTCACCGACTCAATCTTTTCATTGTGCATTTTCATCCCGCTCTGCCAACCCAGTTCTTCAGTCACAATTCACTATCTCCCTTAGTTTCGGAGATATCTTTGAAAAACTCAACGACTCAATTTTTGGGTTGTTAATTCTCAACGCCCCCCCCCCCCCCCCCCCGCCTTGTCGCCCCCACAAATTTTCTATACACAACGGCCCCCTCTCCCCCCATTTTTCCAGTAAATAATATGCATGACCCCTGATATAAATTGACCCTTTTTATGCCCCGCACCTAGACCCCTTATGTAAACCCCTCTACCTACTGATAAAACCCTCATTCAATAGAATCCCCTCGTTTATAAGACCCCTCCGGATATCATTACCCCCATGAATAACCCTCCCTTACATGAAGCCTCCTCTTTGTACAATCCCCCCTCAAAAATTAAAGAAATTTTCTAGGTTTTGGAAAATATTTTTTCTAAAATCGAGTGTATTTTGGTGTAAAATTAATCGTCGGTTTGATTAATTTTGAGCGATTTTTTTCTAAAATTTAGAAATAAATAATTGTAATATCTAATTACAAAATAAATCGATAATAAAAAAATCAAACATTTTGAATAATCATTCGGTTAGCAATTGAGTAATTGAAAGTTCAAGTTGACCATTGATTGAATAATCGAATTCTTTCAAACCCGATTGACGAATAATTCTGTAAATGAATAACTCTATCTTCGAATGAAAAAATAATTGAATAATCGTTTGATATTAATTCACTGGAAAATAGTCGGAATAATCGATAAAGTCCTCACGCAGATTGATGAATAATAAAAAATTAAACATTTCTTGTTCACAGTTTTTCATTATTTAGTGATTGATGAATCTCTCATCGTCATAAGTGATTGATGGAAAATTGAATAATATGCTAATTCATGTTGATGATTGATGAAGTAGTGAACATTTTTGGGTTTCTGATTACTGGTTACCTAACCAATGGTAATTCGTTTCATTGCAATTGACGATTACTTGGTTATCACTGAATTTTTTATTTCAATTATAGTTTAATAAAGTAATTAAAAAATGAAGAATCTCAATTAAAAAATTGACGGTGTAATTGTAATTAGAGCTCAAAATATTACAAAAGTAATGATTACTCCCGAACCCTGGGCGAGAGATGCTACCGCATCTCCCGATATAAAGTACATCAAAATCGGTAGGGCGGGC